GGGTGTTCAGGGCAGTTGCTAGGGTGTTCAGAGCAGTTGCTAGGGTGTTCAGGGCAGTTGTTAGGATGTTCAGGGCAGTTGCTAGGGTGTTCTGAACAGTTGCTGCTAGGGTGTTCAGAGGAGTTTCTAGGGTGTTCAGAGCAGTTGCTAGGGTGTTCAGAGCAGTTGCTAGGCAGCTAGGGTGTTCAGAGCAGTTGCTAGGGTGTTCAGGGCAGTTGTTAGGATGTTCAGAGAAGTTGCTATGGTGTTCAGGGCAGTTGCTTGGTAGTTGGTGCAAGTGAAAAGAGTTCATCCTCAAGTTTTTGTGATATTCTGCTCTCTATGCCTTGGGTCTCTTCTCTAAGCCACTGTAAATCTATGGGATGTTCTTGTAGCGTTTTTAATGTTTACTACAAGACGAAAAATATACCAATTTTTTTTTTTAAAAAGAAAAGAAAAAAAAAGTAATTTTAACATCAATTACTTCAGTCTTCAGTGTCACATGACATGATCCTTCAGAAATCATTATTTGAATATGATGATTTCCTGCAAAGAAAAAAAATGGTTGTGTATTTGTTCAAGATTTGCATTTGGTTTTACATGTTACAAGATGGATACACTTGCTCCTTTACTTTAATGTCATATAACATGTTTAGTGGCTAATTTACGTTGCGTTCCATTTGTCCGACTCCTCAGAAGTGGGAAATTCCAAGTTCTGAGTTGAAACTTTTAACTGAAGTAAACTCAGAGTTGAGATTGGGAGACTCACACAGTCCTATCCAACCTCGAATTGTGGCATTATACTTTGGCATTATCTGTGCGAAATACTGCTTTTTATGAGTTTGTATTCTAAAAGATCAAGCACAGCAACGCTTTGCGATCTTTAGTTTTCTGACTTGTGTCCTGGAATGTGGTCAAGTCAGCTGCGATATCATTTCCAGCACCGAACATTCGTCCTCCGAGATAAATGAATGCAGCATTATTGTTCCAGTCATTTCTATTGGAGGAATCTGATTGGTTGGCACGTGCAGCTCGGTATGACTGTTTGAAAGCGGACACTATCATATCAGTTACGCAGTCTGTCTTTATACATGTTCTGTTTGATGTATGCCAGGAGGATGTTGACTTAGGTTTCTTATCGTTTGATTTTAATGATATTTCTTTTTCTTTTTTTTTTTAAATACTCCTGTGTCATCATCATTTAGCCACATCAAAACCATTATTGGTTTACTGTATGTTTTGACAACAGTCCGCAGTGATGAATGATGTTCTTTTTTAATTTGAAGTTAAAGGAAGTTGCTCAACAGTGAATCATCTCAAACTTATTTACATCTTTTGATCGGGTGTGGGCGTGTGTGTGTTTGTGATTCGCTGCATTGTCACAAATGTTTAGTGGTTGACCTTTCTTTTCTCTCCTCGGGTCATGAATTTTAAGATAGATAGATAGATTGCTAAGGTGTTCAGAGCAGTTGCTAGAGTGTTCAGGGCACTTGTTAGGGTGTTCAGAGCAGTTGCCAGGGTGTTCAGAGCAGTTGCTGTGGTGTTCAGGGCAGTTGCTAGGGTGTTCAGGGCAGTTGTTAGGGTGTTCAGACAGAGCAGTTGCTAGGCAGCTAGGGTGTTCAGAGCATTTGTTAGGGTGTTCAGGGCACTTGTTAGGGTGTTCAGGGCAGTTGCTAGGGTGTTCAGGGCAGTTGCTAGGGTGTTCAGGGCAGTTCTTAGGGTGTGCAGAGCAGTTGTTAGGGTGTTCAGAGCAGTTGCTAGGCAGCTAGGGTGTTCAGAGCATTTGCTAGGGTGTTCAGAGCAGTTGTTAGGGTGTTCAGAGCATTTGCTAGGGTGTTCAGGGCAGTTGTTAGGGTGTTCAGAGCAGTTGCTAGGGTGTTCAGGGCAGTTGCTAGAGTGTTCAGAGCAGTTGCTGTGGTGTTCAGGGCAGTTGCTGTGGTGTTCAGAGCAGTTGTTAGGGTGTTCAGAGCAGTTGCTAGGGTGTTCAGGGCAGTTGCTAGAGTGTTCAGAGCAGTTGCTGTGGTGTTCAGGGCAGTTGCTGTGGTGTTCAGGGCAGTTGCTAGGGTGTTCAGGGCAGTTGCTAGGGTGTTCGGGGCAGTTGCTAGGTGGTTGGTGCAAGTGAAAAGAGTTCATCCTCAAGTTTTTGTGATATTCTATATATACATGAATGCATATGAACATAAATACATGCATGCATACCGTACATACGTTATGGACATACACATACATAAATACATTTACATATATATGCATGCACACATACATACATGCCTATGACCTTCTTAGAGCTAAACAGTGGCCCCAGAAACTATTTGTACACTGACTTGACACTTAAAAACGTCTGAATGTCAATGCATTTGATGATAAAGGGTAAAAACAATTGTCTGCATCAAATACTGCACGACGAATGCCACTTTTCTTCATTGTTTTCATGCAGTCCGTAAATCAGTGGATGTATACAGTCAGTCCTCAGCAGGAGGAGAGAATCACAAGAAATATAGACATGTTCATGATTCACAAACTCGACGTGACACAATGTTTCATTTTTCTACTACTAGATCTATTTTTTTTTATCATTTAGATCCTTTAAAACATTGGCTCAGCCGGTGGCATGACATTGGGGCAGGATCATCTATCATTAATTTTGCAGATCTATTTGGTGACATTACACACTTCAGCTTTAATTGTTGTATATGCTTGTAGTTTATAATTGAAGAGCTGCAGTGAGTGCTTTAAGTCTTTTTAGTCACTCACTGAACCTGCTAAACTAAGCAGACAGTGTCAGTGCACACAACAGCGTTCAGCCTTCGGGTTATTCATAGCAGCACAGTGCTGTAAAACAGATATTTAAGGCGGCAGATAAAACATCTCGCTGGGTCAGCTCTGAATTGTGTTGCTTCTTTCATCACATCCTGTTGTTTAATCGTTTAATAGCAGCCACCTTTAAATGTGTGCAGTTTCAGTGCAGCACGAGAGAGCAATTCACTGTCTGCATGTTTATACATGTTGTCAAGGAAATGCTATAAGCGATGTGATTAATGATGCTGTAATGTAAATTAAGGTGGAATGCATGCCGCGCATTCAAGTGGTTTCCATGGCATTGCCAGGTGGGGTGATGCTAGACAGTTGTTAAGGTGGTTGCTAGGGGAAGATTGTCCTATCGCTTAGTTAAGGAGTTTTCAGGAATCCCAAGGCAGTCAGCATAGAACATTTCAGCGAAAATAAAGTGTAAAAAAAATGTTTATTGCATGTAAAAGCAGATTGCATATAATATTTTAGTTTTTTGACTTTAGTAAAACGACTTGAAAAATGTCTTTATTGTACACACTATTAAAAAAATATGAAGAGTTCAGATGCAAAAGCCTCTAAATGCCATTTGAAATTTTCTTCTTTAATGATGATTTTTATCAAACTTGTATATTTAAGTTCAGTAATTTCACTTAAATAACAATTAATAGGTAATTATCATTGCCATTTAAGTGAAATTACTGAACTTAAATATACAAGTTTGATAATCATCATTAAAGAAGAAAATTTCAAATGGCATTTAGAGGCTTTTGCATCTGAACTCTTCATATACAGTATATGGGTAACACTTCATTTTAAGATGGCAGTTACATGTTACTATAGTCATAACAATAAATTATGCATAATTACGTGCAAATAAGCCTAATCCTAAACATAACCCCATAGTATACGTTAAGTAATATTAATTAGGACTTAAAATACTTAGTAAACTAAGTACAATGTAACCTTAAAGGGCTACACTTAATTGTCATTGTTACAATGTAATTATATATTGAAGAACTGAGTGATATTAGTTAACTACTTGTGCTTACTATATTACTATGTGATGGTTAGGATCAGGGTTATTTGAATGTAATTATGCATTATTTACTGTTATTCTATGTAATATACTGTATGTAAAAAGTACACTAAAATGTGTTTGGTGTTAGCAAGTAAAGTAAACTAAAATATTTATTAAAGTTGTCTTTTGCAAAGGGATCATCATATTTAATCATAATTTGTTTTAAAAGTAGAACAAATTCATGGATAAGTAAAAAAAAAGTAATTTCTAAAGCCTCTACATTAGGCTACATAATTCAAAGAATGTCCATAGCACACATTAGCATTTATACATCTATTTATAATATAATCTGACTGATATTATTTGTGCATCTATACACTGTAAAAAATATTGTTGGTTTAACTTAAAAAATTAAGTAACCTAGTTGCCTTAAAATTTTAAGTTGATTGAACTGGAAAAAGTGAATTAATACAAATTAATACAACTCAAAATAATAAGTTATCTGAAGTTCTGAACTAAATAAATTATTTAAGTTGATTTGACAATAGAAAAATATTTGAAAATATATTATTTTTTTTTTATCAATGCCTTAGATGACAATTTAACAATAGAAAATGGTTAAATAACTAAGTTTGTGACATGTTAAGTATGTACTGTTTAATGTACTTAATGTACTTTAAGAGGATTTTATGGTACTAAATTATATTCATGTTAAGCTAAACTTTACAAAAATTTCAATATAGCTTCCATCTTGATTTATATAAGAGTTAATCTGCCATAAATTTTGAAAGTTTTGGAGTACAGACTTAAGTTTGGTCTCTTTTTAAAGACATTTGGCAGATTATTACTAAAGAGAAAAAAGTTTAAAGATGAAAAAAAGTTAAAACTAACAACCATTATTGTTTAATTTTTAATTTTGATGTGAAATACATATTTTCCAAGACACGTTTTACTCTAAAACTGTGATAAAATCAAAGCCATCAATCTAAACAAGCCGTGTTCCCAATTTTAGGTTTATATCTCCAAAAATTAGCTCTCTTTTCTTACTCTTAACTCTTTTCTGTACAAGGAGTGTTTACAGTGATCCTTCCACCAATTAAATCAATTCAGAAATGTAGAGTTGAACATAATAAGAAAATGTTGCTGTTGGCTGTATCTACTTCTTTACTGTATTTTCATGTATATAAATATAAACGTTTCTTTTGCTTTCTAGATGGCAAAGGGTGGAGAAGTCCGGAGAATTGCATGGCCGCCCCTGCCCGATGTCACCTGAGAAACTGGAAGGTGAGCATTCCTCAAATCATCAAATGTGTAAGAAATAATAAATAAACACACACTTTGATGCTGTCTGACATAACATCTCAATCCCTGTTTGGGCTTGCTGTACTATTACCAAGCGTGTCACTTTGGAGTTGTTTGTGTGTCCATTTTCACTCCGGCTCATCGGATCTTTTCAGCCAGACACTCATTCATTAAAGTCACCCTGAAATATTTACACGTCGGGATCCGCGACGGTGTTGGGTGTTACTTAAGTAATTAAAGAGTCTGAAGTGTTGGCTGGGTTAGATCGTTGGTCGGCTGTTGGGAAGCGTATCCATGTTAATAAGCCGATCGGACATCACGGATCAGTTTACTCAGGGTTTATATAACAGGAGTAATGGACATGGGAGATTAACCTACTAGCGATTATTTCTTGTTTTTGTACACATTATTGGCTTTCTTTCAGGTCATACATGCTGTACAAGTTTTCATGTTGACTTCATTTGCTTTGCCTGTAGGTGATGCTGCTGGTGTTTGTATGTTTTCTGGGTCTGGTTGATGGACATTTCCTGGAGAAGGAGACAGAAGAACCCCGTCCTGGCAAACTGAGAAGCTCTTCAAACCGTCCAGAACGTCCCGGCCCGCAGAAAGACCTCGAGGAGAGGCAGAGCAGAGCGCCGTGGGCCGGACCGCATGGTCAGTACACTATAGACAGTGTGTGGGGAAACCGGGGCTAGTTGTCACGCTTTATACTTAAAATAATTTGTTCACTTAAAAATGAAAGTTATTTCAAACCTGTATGAATTTCTTTCTTCTGCTGCACACAAAGGAAGATATTTTGAAAATTGTTAGTAACCAAATTGACTTTCGTAGTTTTGTTTTTTTCCTACTGTAGAAGTCAGTGGGGTCCAACAACTGTTTGGTTACTAACATTCTTCAAAATATCTTCCTTTGTGTTCAGCAGAAGAAAGAAACTCATTCAGGTTTGAAACGACAGAATTTTTAAAAAAAATTTAAGTGAACTATTATATATTATAAATATATTAAGTGGTAGTCTTGCCCTTGGGCGTAAATATGTCTCCAACATCAGATTTTTCTTTTCATATACTGTATTACAAATATATGATAAATGCAAAAAGTCACATTATTTTTATATACATTTAATCATTTAGCCGATGCTTTTAGCCACATATACTTAAATTATATTGTTATAGCGACTTATTTATTAACTTTTCCCCCACCAACGTTTTTGAAATAGTTTCCTGCCATTGCCAGCATTTCTTATCATTTTCACAAAAGTTTATTTTTGTTGTATGAATATTTGAACATGCAATAATTCCAAATAATCAATTTTTAATCAACATTTGTGGCTTTACAATTTTGAGCGAAAAAAAAACAAACAGTCTTTTTGTCAAAGACTATTGGATCGGATTCAGAACGATGATCAAAACACAGATGTAGTAGATCGACACCCGTTAAAGCTTCACAGTCCTATGTCTCATCCTGGGTCGACATTTCATTCAGTAACATAAGGCAGTTTTGATTTATATGCTGTTTAATTTTGATGATCACGTTATTTTACATAAGCATCTGCTTACTTATGAAATCAATAATATTACTGAACATTGACTTTTAAACCAAAGGACAGAATTCACATGACATATGATATACACTCACCCTAAATGATTATTAGGAACACCATACTAATACTGTGTTTGACCCCCTTTCTGCCTTAATTCTACGTGGCATTGATTCAACAAGGTGCTGAAAGCATTCTTTAGAAATGTTGGCCCATATTGATAGGATAGCATCTTGCAGTTGATGGAGATTTGTGGGATGAACATCCAGGGCACGAAGCTCCCGTTCCACCACATCCCAAAGATGCTCTATTGGGTTGAGATCTGGTGACTGTGGCGGCCATTTTAGTACAGTCAACTCATTGACATGTTCAAGAAACCAATTTGAAATGATTCATGCTTTGTGACATGGTGCTTTATCCTGCTGGAAGTAGCCATCAGAGGATGGGGACATGGTGGCCATAAAGGGATGGACATGGTCAGAAACATTGCTCAGGTAGGCCGTGGCATATAAACAATGCCCAATTGGCACTAAGGGGTCTAAAATGTGCCAAGAAAACATCCCCCACACCATTACACCACCACCACCAGCCTGCACAGTGGGAACAAGGCATGATGGATCCACGTTCTCATTGTTTACGCCAAATTATCTGAATGTCTCAACAGAAATCGAGACTCATCAGACCAGGCAACATTTTTCCAGTCTTCAGCTGTCTAATTTTGGTGAGCTCTTGCAAATTGTCGCCTCTTTATCCTATTTGTAGTGGAGATGAGTGGTACCCAGTGGGGTCTTCTGCTGTTGTAGCCCATCCGCCTCAAGGTTGTGTGTGTTGTGGCTTTACAAATGCTTTGCTGCATACCTCGGTTGTAACGAGTGGTTATTTCAGTCAAAGTTGCTCTTCTATCAGCTTGAATCAGTCGGCCCATTCTCCTCTGACCTCTAGCATCAACAAGGCATTTTGGCCCACAGGACTGCCGCATACTGGATGTTTTTCCCTTTTCACACCATTCTTTGTAAACCCTAGAAATGGTTGTGTGTGAAAATCCCAGTAACTGAGCAGATTGTGAAGTACTCTGGCACCAACAACCATGCCACGCTCAAAATCGCTTAAATCACCTTTCTTTCCCATTCTGACATTCAGTTTGGAGTTCAGGAGATTGTCTTGACCAGGACCACACCCCTAAATGCATTAAAGCAATTGGTTGATTAGATAATAGCATTAATGGGAAATTGAACAGGTGTTCCTATTAATCCTTTAGGTGAGTGTGTGTCACATATTATGATCCTAATTTAGGACCGTTTCTAAGGGCCGAATTTAACATACAATACACTGTTAGAGAAAACAAACACATGTAATGAACCGGTATGACTCTTGTGACATCCTCCCCATTTGATCTACTTTAATTTACATGCCTCATCCACGTTTGACGTTGCTGCAAAGCCTGCTATTAAAGTGTTTACTTCATACCCGCGGTAAAATTAAGCCATCAACTACACTTGTTGATAGATGTGAGCGATTTCAAAATTATACGTTGTCACGATTCACGAAGTGTGTTGGCTGTTCTGTTGCACTGAACATAGATCAATCTTAATAAAGATTTCAGTTTGCTACCAACTTTGTCTCAGATGCTTCTCTCAAAATTCCTTGGGAGAAATAGAAATAGTCACGAATGAGTCAGTTGGCATAGAGCTATAAAACGAATGTGGATAGCAAATCATTCGGCATTTGATGAGAAATGTTTGTGTTGATATTGAGATCTCTGACTTTTCATTCCAGACTTTGAGCACTGAAAATTGCTGGCTAGGAAAAACAACTGAGATTTCTTTTGTGCTTTTTCTGTCGTATGGGAAGCCGTCTCGATTAGGTCAGTCTGAGAAGACTTGTTCTGTTTCATGTCTTCTCAGGCTTCTTACTGAGTTACTATTACATTGTCTGTCTAACCTGTCAGAGGTTTGAATCCTTTGGGCAGTCTGGTTTACACTTTCTGTTGTCTGTAACACGGGTCAATCTCACGAAACCTGATCACACTTCATTCCAAATAAAATAAATAAATAAAAAATATTTTTGCTTAAACTCCTAGTTTATTTCATTGCATTGTGATTTATAGATGAATAAATAAAAAAAGAGTTTAATATTTTGACACAAATTAGAAGTTAAACATTAAGACTTTGCATTACAGTACTGAGAATTTGGATATGAAATGTGCTTAAATGTGATGATAATAATAATAATAATAATTCACAGTGACATTATTATAATAATGTCACAATGCACTGTAAAAATGAATATGCTTTATCTAATCAATAGAATTGTGGCAACAGATTACAAGCAATATTATTAATTAAATTGAACAAATTAGAATTGAGTAATAATTAATCAAATTATTCCTTAAAAGTTAACCTTTTAAAATGAGTAAAGTTTACACCAAAAAATTAAACAAAAATATCTGAATAACAGACAGACGTCAAAGATTAATTAAAAACTTTTTATTTCCTATTGCCAACATTGAAGACGCCTGATGTTAACAAGCTGAATCACTGAAGGAGAAAAGCGTAATTTCAAAACAAACACGATCACCATAATGGTGATTTAAATTTATGTTTCTTGTTGTTGTAAGTTTTACTAATTTTAAATAGTTAGCTTTTAAGGAATTCATTTGATTAATTATTACTCAATTCTAATTTGTTCAATTTAATTAATAATATTGCTTGTTATCTGTTGCCACAATTTTTTTGATTAGATAAAGCATATTCATTTTTACAGATCTTTGTCGTCATAAATAGGCCTTATTTTATTCTTCTTTTATGCAAAATATGATTTCTTCTTTTATTTTGGGGTGAAATGTGATCTGGAAATGTTTATGTACACTGAAACACTTTATTTCGATCGATTGACTACTTTAGACATTCTACTAACTATGAGTAACTTTGCTCGTCAGCTTATCCTACTAACCTGCACCCGAATCTAACAGTCTAATGCTTTAATGAGAGTTGGCTGACATGTTGTTGCAAAGTTACTTATTGTTAATAAAAGTAGGCCATTGAAATAAAGTGTAACCATGTACACCATTTCTGGATTTCTACAGAAACCGTTCTCCTAATCCTGTAATTCTGTGTTATGCACAGTCACAGCTCACACCTTGCTTAAAGGCGAATTCCTTGCAAATGATTGTATTTCTGTTCGTTTTCTTTGTGGAAATACAATATCTGTGCACATAATAATGCAGGGACACGAGTGGAATGCAAACTTACCGTCAGTGTCTCTTGTGAGGACATGCACTACACACATACAGACCTAAATGAGATCTTTAATGAGCTCTAAGGATCTTCTGTTGTTTGATGCTGACATGTCCATGCTAACATGAAGACATTGTTTTGTGCAATATGATAAACATGATCAATATTGGTTCAGCCACAAGTTGACATGTTGGGCAAACAAACAGAGCGATGTTTTTATAGGGTCACAGTGTTTACACTCAGGAAATCAGCCGTGATATTGTCCATTTCGCAGCCACTGAATTAGACTTGCTATCTGCTCTCAGTGGATGCTGACTGGACACTAAAAAAAAAGCTAAAATTGTCTCTTCTGCTCACCAAGATTTCATTTATTTGATCAAAAATACAGTAAAGCAGTAATATTGTGAAATATTATTACAATTTAAAATAACCGTTTTCTGTGTGAATATACAGGGTATTTATTCCTGTGATCAAAGCTGAATTTTCATCATCATTACTCCAGTCTTCAGAGTCATGTGATCCTTCCTTTTGATGCTGGATCTAGAAAGGTTCAGGCCCCATTTACACGATGGGAAAGTGCAGATATTTCTTTGCGTTTTGCCCTCTTATTTACACGAAAACGCCGTTTTTATTACTGAAAACGATTATTTCTAAAAACTAAAGCCAAAGTGGAGATTTCTGAAAACGCCGGTTATGTGTTGTCGTGTGAACTGGGAGAAACTGCATTTTAGGTTCTCTCTTGTCATTTCTGAGGATTCTGATTGGCTTGAATGGCTTTATCCTTAACCCCTACACTGCCACCAATAGGTTTGGCATAGTTATGATGGCGCTCGACGGCGTATTTATGCGGGTGTGTAAACGATGTTTCAAACGACAATCAC